TTGAGCACATCCATCAAACTGAGTTCGAGAATAGAACTTTCGGTTCGATAGCCCCGTCAAACGGTTTTATGTGAGACTATATGGTACTGTTTGGTATAACGCTTTGTATGGTACGGTATAATATGGTACAGCTTGCTAAGGCATGATCTACAAAGGCCGCCAATCTGTCAGCACCTTCAAGCAATTGCCACTGGCTGCTTTCATGATGAGTAAACAATCTATCTCGTCCGGCAATTAAGCTCATTCCATGATAACCGTCATCTGCTTAAAAAACCATTCCGCCTATCACCATTTGTTGACATCACTCACTCTTTGATCTTACAGTTGCCACTTTCAGCTTTCAGATGACTTTCCTTGTGTTCATAAAATTCAAAATCTCTTACGCTCTCCTCGAATATTTGCAGAACGATTGGAAATTCATCACTTACACTGACTTCTGCTTGCATGTTACGCATTTCAGAATTTTTTAAAACAAACTGTGAGACTGTAAAATACTTAATCAATCTACTTGAGTTACTGAACAATTTTGAGGATGTTGAGAACATAAGGAGATGGAAGCATTAAAATGAGAAACATGAGACGATTAACTGAACACTTCGATGGATGTTTTTTTGTCACTTTTTTGTGCTCAACACGTAGTTGAGAACGTGCCCGTTGAATTGTCGTTGAAGCAAAAGCGAAGTGAATTGCATAATTGAATGCGAAACAAAGACATCGTCAAAAACAAAAACAAGATGACACAATGGAGACTTGAATGAAATCAACGAATCAAAGCAAAACAATGCGACGAATGCGAACGACTGTGACTGAAACTAATCGAGAACGATCATCGAAACTCGGAGACACAACAAAATAACAAAAAACGTCCACCATATTCATGATAGCATGACACTTTTTCAACACCTTCACAGCCTTTTTATCAATTTATGCATCACATCATCAGTTGTTTATTTGATTGTAACAATTTTTCGTTCGCTCAAAGTTTGTTTCTCTCTTAGGCAATGAACGGCGGCGAAAAGATTTAAAACTTCGCAGGGAATGATAACATCGTCAATTTAAATGAGCTTTTAGTGCCTAAAATATTTTACCATGAATGTAGTGAAATATGCCTAAACGGTTACCAGAAGATGATAATTCTGCACTTACATAACAAAAGTCCCAATACTCATGTCTACCCTCAACTCACTGAATTTAGAAATAATTAACAGGTTAGCGAAAGTTACATTTTGATGAAGAAATTGCTTTCGTGCTGAATGACTAATTTAAGTTATTTGGTAGAGTAGAGGCATTTGCGAGAATAAAAGAGATGGAAACTGGCAAAAAAAAGAATGGAAAAGCTTCAGTGAATGTTCGTTTGTCGCGAGCAGAATGTCAACGACCCAATAATGAGATAATGTTTATTTAACGCCATTATCCAATAGTGAACGCCATGCTCATAGTTAGTCAACAAAGAATTCGGTCGTCTTGCATTGATAGGTTGGCACTGAACTGACAGCACATTCGTCGTCACCACATTTCTCTACAGTATACCAACTAGAGCAAATTCCTTCTAATTGAGTAGAGCGAGCACATTATAAAGTGCCAGCGACAGTGACTGAGAATAAATAAATGAATGAGCGCGGACAAAATGTTATCTATCGTTCTTATTGTTCGTCATCACTACTTTACAGTAATTCTCCTCGTTGCTGCCTTCTCGTGACAAAACGATAATTTACTGTTGACAAGAGGTAAGCTTAGAACCAGCAAGTTGTTAAGATTTTAAACTCAACGCTAAGGTTGTGAAGCATAAAACTGCTCCATTCATGCGAGCATGAACGAAAGCAAAGATGGTTAGATGGATACCAGTGGTTCCGTTAGTTGATCATAAAAGAGTAGACATGTGGACAGGTAAAATTAACTATCAGTGATCTAGAGAAAAACGAATTAAATGGGGACGAATCACTCAGAAATGCAAAATTCGACTTCCACTAACATTAAGTCATACGACGCCTACTCACACGACATTTCACGATCAATCATGACCGGGAACAATTTCAACGACAGAACAGCGGATGATTACGGGAGATGCACATTCAGACAATCGAGACTACTTGAGCTAAAGCATTAAAGCGAATATCAATGCAGCTGAGAAACACTAAATTCAGATGGTGCAAAACTGACAAGCCGCATTTCAGATTAAATGCTGTCTGAATTCCCGAACACGCACCTATATGGATCTTGAATGAAGCAGTAGTACACAAGATGAAAGTTAGGTTCACGAAAGACGGTAGTATTCCACATTGTATTTGCTGAAGCAATCAAAAACTACTATGAACTTGACCAAATCGAAAAGGACAACAGAACTGACGGAAATGCATATCGTATGAAATAACCATAAACATACAAGTATCAAGATAAGTTCGACGATATGGATGGATGTTTCGTGAGGGAGGAAGAGAACAAAATGAACAGAAGAAAGTCCGAATGATGAAAGAATAAAATTGATGATGAAGGTCTGAAACAGCAGCTAGTGTAACAACGATTTCGTTTCAGTGTCATTATCATTTGAGGATGGATGACATAGTGGATGTCATTGTGCTTGTCATCATGAAAATATATCAATGTTGTTATTGTTGTGTTGCTGTTAAATTGTTATGACATAACAACTGGCTCGCAAAGATAAGATTCAGATTTGGCTTGATAAATGTAAGTGCTAAAGGGGATCTAGAGACTACTGCGAGCAGCGAATCGGCATATAAAACGAGAAGATTTAGCATGAGCGAGCATTTATTCATACTTCGTCCTTCAATACATGTAATATTCAAAAGAGATGAACAAATAAATATGCTGGTAGTTGGTATATTATCGTGTAAAATAACAAGCGAAGATGGAAAAGTGTATAAAATGGGAAAAAANAAAAAACCTATTCAAATCAGATATAAAAATAAGGATTATAGATATATTTCTTTGTATGTGCTCTTGATAGAGCTGTTAATAGCTGGAGATATGAATGGCATAGCAATATCTTCTTAATATCTTAATATATATTTTATTCAAAAGCTGACTGAGATCTGAGCGTTATTCGTTGGATAGATATATATTGGTGGCATGGTGATGGCGACGATAGTGATACACCCATTCCCCTGAGGTTTGGATGGGTCATTGTGAGATAACGCTTGAATCTGTCATCAAAGATGTCAAAAAATCGTCGACGATGACAATGAGAACGCATGCTGCCGGTTCGCTTGCTCGCCTCACTCGCCTTTAGATGAATTACTCCATTTATAAAAGAATAATAGAACATCGATTTCTGCAACAATTTACATCCCGATTCGCATTCCACTTGATTATCCTTCCTCAGAACAGCGAAACTAATGACCTAGTCGATAGGAACATAGTGTTGGTGTAGAAAAAAAGATAGGTACTGACTGGCATTAATGATGAGTATCGCTTTTGTGAATGAGAAGTACTGGCTGGTTGTTGGAGATATTAATGACTCATATTATAATTTGCTGTACAATGTTGACCGTCGCATTGTTGCTGTAAACTGATCGGAGATTTAGGTACGTTAGAAAAATTCAACTGAAAAACACCACCACAGATTTCATCGTGTTCATGAAAAGCTGGAACATGTGCAGCTGCCCGCATAAAAGCAACAGAAATAGTCACCGTGTTGCGATCACATCATAGTGAGACAGAGAGCGAAAAATGTTTCGCAAATGGGAATGAAATTGAGCACTGTGCACGAACGAATCTATCAAGATGACAATTGAAACAATTGAGATAATTTCAAGCATTACTCAGTCAGAGAGAGGATGCCAACGAACGACATTATCAAACTGCTGCTTGCACACTGTGATATGATCCATATGAGGTTGAGACACAAACGCTACACCTAACATAAAATTATCAAAACAATCTAACACTCTTCAATATTCTTCCAAGCGCCTGACGGTAAAAATGCTAAAGATTGTATATCTGCATACATTAAACTACTGATCGAATAAGCTTTATCATAATTTAATGACAAGACAAGCTTATTTCTCGACATTCTCCAAATGATAGGACCAAATTCTCGTCTCTTGATGGAGAAGCATGTTGGATAGATGTGTCATGAAAGGAAAAAGTTAGGGAACGATTCTGAGAAATTTTATGAAGCATATCACTGGGTTTCACTATTTTTTAAAGAAGTGTAACTATTGGAAACAAACAGAGTGGAATCGTGTAATATATCGTCAAGTACATTAAAATGTGAGAAATACACTGAATCACTAATGCTTAAAGAATAATTTGCTGTGTATTTGTTTTGTTGTAAGAAAATGTATAGGTAGACACATAGATCGATTTGTGATATGATAAGAAACAAATATGGATGATGGAAGATGTAAAATAGATGTGCTTGTTGTTGTAGTATTTGATCTTCTATGCTCACAAATGAATTCATTTCGTTATTTTGTTATTCTGATGCTTCGGTTGGACTGATTCACAAATTCGTTAGCATCAGAATGTGAGCTAGCGATGAATTAATGTTGATATAATGCACAATAAATGATGTCATTTTGCCTTCTTCACACCTGCAATGAAACAACAACAGAAACGCCAGTGGAGTGCATTTTGCGTTTTGAACGATAATGGGACGCTTCTTCCAGCTAGGATCATGTCGACGAACCCTGTTATAGTACATTATCAACACTGTTACAGCAATGTAGGAAGTCACGTCGGTTGAGGGTGTCTGGAGGACGTTCGCATGTTTTTGAAGACATACAATATTAGGCGACGAACAACATAAAGCAAACAAAAATCGAAAATCACATGAAGATCAGAAATACGACATGAGAACATGGAAGTCTGACGGTACGGATGCCGGGTTCACCCGGAATCGGGATAGGATTTCTCCTTGGGTTATCAGCCCATTCTCGCGTTATTTGCAGAATGTATCAAATGATTTTTACTTAGCTACATCACGTCCACGATCAATACTGCTGCTGGTTCACTTCGAATAAAGTGAGAAAAGACTCGCTTCAGAAGAACCAAAGGTGGTTCATGGTATCACAAACCTCGTCGATGAATCCTCGTTGAAAATCTTGCCTTGTCCATCCAGCTCGCTCAATTATAGCATTCGCATCTTCGTCATCCAATTCGGCTAGCGCTCGACTTAGTAAGATTTTAATTCGGACGGGAATTGCCTAAATTTAATCTTCGAGTGGATGGAACCTACGTACGGACAATAAACAAAATAGTGATTTTACAATAACTTGTGAATAACTTCGAATAATGATGAAAATAATTGCAGTAATCTTTTATAGCAGCGTAACTAATGCGTTTTTTTACAAGGTCAATTTGATGAAAACAGAGAATCTGAAACATCAGTGGAATACTGATTTTTGATGAATTCAACTTTGAAGAGCGCTGATATTCACTATATTCGTTGTCGGAGAGGCTTTCATCGTAGAGCGCATTCCTCATGAAGTATGACTGGATAAGAAGGCAATGAAAATTTCAGTTTCAAGTAGATTTCAAAAAATTTATCAGCCTATATGCGGTGCGTTCCAGCCGTGAATAAAAACTATGATCGAAAAAGCACTGAAAGAGTAGTGGTAACCTAATGTGGAAAGGTTTTGTGTGACTGATAAACATACCTGATAGCCAAAAAGTGTTGAAAATACAATTGATTCCAGCTGATCGCCAGGCCTGTTTGTGCTGTGATCATCACTGCAACATTCACCTTCTTCTGACTCGGACATTTCCGAGTGTGAACTGCTTGTACTGGAATGTCCCGACGTCGAAGCTTCCCTTTCTCCTGCAAACTCAGTCTTAATGAATAGATGAATAATTACACATGACCAATTTGAATTCCGATCCATGCCAGCTGCTTCCAATTTATTGAAAAATTATGATAATCACATCAGGGCCTCTAGATGTTTTACCTGCAATGCGATAAAACTTCGCAAATTGGGTGGGCAGACCACCTGGAGTGATCGTCAACTCAAGCTGTCAAACTCTCTAGCAAGTACTGATTGTGTAACGAATAAGTGAGTGAGTCACAAGTGAATATAATGATGACAGTGCTATTATTAGCGATGATTGGTTTGCTATGAAGATTAGTGCGGTGCAAGAGATGAAGAGTGGCTGGATGTGACAACGATGGTATGTATGGATATTACGATATTACGAAATGATCATTCGATGTTCACACATTCCCAATGACTACGTTCCATTTGTCACACATTCGTCATGAACAAAAGCTACATTAGCAGAGAGCGTGGGATAACGTTACATACATAAACATATCATGCATTACATATCGCTTTAGTGGCTGATCGATTGGTTGGTTACAGTTTGAAACGCAGTCAAATTACCAAAATGCTCCCGGCACTTAGAGTGTTTGAGCGAACACAATAATTCATTCACTTTATCTAATAATGCTGTCTAATTCAGAATCTAACAATAAGTGCTGTTGAGCAATACAATTCAGGGACAGTTCAAGGACAGTGAGCCTGGCTGTCCGGTCTTTCAGGACTGAGGGTAAATCCAAAAAGTTGGAATGTACAGAGACCAACACGCTGGAATTTTGATAAAACCCCACACCACTGTCTCATTGCCTCTAACAGTGATGATCTACGAATCAGTGTTGATTGATGAATCTTCGGCAGTCGAATCCAGTTTGAATAAGTAAGCCGGTTGGAAAGTAGATGATTTCAGCATAGGAAACATCATTTCTGAATGGAGTGCATTTCTTAGACAGTCTTCTCTCTATCGAATGCGTGTCAATCAAGCCATTCGACTCTTCTTTCAGTATCTTGATGGTTTTCGATCATTTGAAAACTAATTTTTTTAAATGAGCAAATTTGTATAAAGATCTTCTATTTGTTACTATTCACATTCCTGTTAGTATGAAGGCAAAATTGCGTCTTAGTCTAATCATCAAATAAGAGCTGCAGCAGATACAGTATTGTAGTGCAAGGATNGGATACTAGAAGTGAAGTGACTGACTGTGAGTGTTTTTACCATAGACTGTTTCACAGGAACACATAAGCAGCGCATACTGCGAAGGAAACGAATGAATTGAATGAAGAAAACTAACGGCAAAGCTTAATGGATTTGGCAGCTGATAGATGGCTGGTGATGGTATTGTTGTTGTGGAGAAGTATGTGATTATTGGACGAGGATCGTGAGGTTGTCGGTGCGACGACGGGCAATGTTAACATTGAATGTGGCTGGGACTGCGACTTCGACTGCGACGTGAACGCCACCCGCATTACACTCTTCTGTCCAATCAAACGACGAGATGATGACGGACTGTTGCTTTGGAAGAAGATGGAAAAAGAAGATAAGCTGAGGTGGGGCTGAGGTGTCAGAGAGGTTTGATATTAGAGGTGGCAGTGAGAGTATTATGTTCTTGTTCTTATTCGTTGGGTTGTTCTTTTCGTTGAATTGGATGGATGGATGTGTGACGGACGGACGAATGAACAGGGCGGAGTGGGGGCGATCTGTAGATTTGTTGTAGAATAGAGGACAGTGCACAAGTTGGTAATGGTGATGCTGCAAGTAGTAATAGATCGAGCGGATGAGAACACGTCGTGAGGAAACACACACAAACAGACACAAGTATATCTTTATCGTGTCTTTTGTGTCTTTGACTAGATAGTACACGCAAGTGGATGGATGGATAATAGATTATTGGAGCTTGAGGTATATAGTAGCTGCAAAACTTTTGACTGAACGGATTATATTAGCACGATGAAAGGACGCACGTATGGATGATCAGATGGATATGACTATCACTATTGGTATTGTGTCTTTAGGATATATGATCAGTCGTAAGCTTGTTGATCAGTCGAATGTGGAAATGATGGTGATAGCATAGACACACAATGAGACGTATCGCGGATATCGGACAAGCAACTCAATCACAGTCGTATTACCTTTTGCTTGGCGAGCCGTTTGGCTTGACGCTTGGCTCAGATAAAATATAGCAGCAGATAGAAGAGAGATAACACATAGAAGATGCACACAATCTCTCCTACTTGGCTGTTGATATGTGTGACTTGCTTTCAGCTAGAGTCAAAGCTTAAGTTGCTTATCGCTTACGATGAGTTCAGCCTAGTTGGCTGATTGTGTTCAGAGCTGATATAACAGGTTCAACCGACTCATCGTATTCACTGCTGTTTTGTCGTATGCTTCTTCTTCTATCTGTATGAACTATAGAGCTATGGCCTGTAATTTGCCAATGATGGGACATTACGATAGAATGATATGATATTGATGACAAATATGTGTCTAGCTAGAAATGAAAAGCATGATTTTTAAAGGGAGATGCACGGAGAGCATTTGTATTCGACATAGGATTTGCACGATAATAAACTGATAAATCAGCTAGTTAACGTAGTTTAAAGTTGTGTTGTAGCAGTCATCGCACGTGTCGTCTGCTAAAGAAGGCCCTATAATGCTCGACACACGAGTTTCGAGCAACGATTTCAAGTCAGAGCTTACAATTAGTCCGTGTTTATGCAAACTAAGCAGTTCCTCATAGCTTTTTCCAAAATAAAAACTAAAAACTGAACAGCGGAATGCATTCATTCAGTCATCATTCATCAACAAGAATTACAGCAGGCGTCCCTTGCTTACTTATACCTTTATCATCCAACTTGCATTTAACATTATTACAGCCTTGCTAATTGGTACAAGTGGCATTCACACAGACATGCAAGTTTATGGGTGCAAAATGGTGTTTGTAAATGATCAGAATTTGATTCGGAAGCCCTGCATCGACTTTAGCACTCATTGAACCATGAAAATTAGTTCTGATAACGATCGGACTGCCAGCAACTCCGGCATTCGGCGAGCTACCGACCAAACGCGTTTTGACAGTTGGCTAAAATTTTGGTTTGTCTCGCGTTGAATGCGAAAAATATGCTTCGGTGATTTACTCGAGAGTCTTCGCTCCAATGTCGGCATCTAACACTAGTGCCTAGAAAGCACATCGTTTCTCCTGACTTATTTTTAAATTGATGATATCGTAATGAATTCGTCTGATTAGATTTCATTTGATTTTGGTGCATTGTTCAGTGCGATGTACGAAGCAACGCATTGATCTGCAACGCTTACCTACCGTAATACTATGTGATGTGATAATTGTTATGATTGAATGAGGCTCGTTGAGGACAGATGAGAGCATCGAGTCAGCAGCAGCCATTCATACAAATGTGAGCATTGCTGTGCTGCATTCGTCAACGTCTCTTTGCTGATGATCATCATAATGTGTACGCGTCATTACATATACGTTGCATTATATTTATATCGCATCACATCGTATACGTTCTCATTCAATCAGTAATAGAACCTTAACATCACCAAGCTAACAGCACTGATAGAACAGCAACTAAGCGAACTCAATGAAAATCAGCAGTCATTTACTAATCGTTGACATTTTTGGATCGAGAATAAAATTAAGTCAGTCGGATGACTGTTCTACTAAACCTTCTATAGTCAATTCAAAAATCTCATTCATTCAGTGACTGTGCATTTAGATGCTTTACACTGTTAGTCATCAGCTGGAGAAACTGACTTAATCATATATCATAAGAGTTAAGTACAAATTCGTTGGAACTGTAATCGAAATGCGACATTTATTGCGAAGATTCGATGGTGTTGCACATACCATATATCCATGCATAAGATTACAGTACGATATAGAGGAACAATGTGCACGACCTTTGAACAAGTAGATCAAATGAGCCGATTGAACAATTTAGCGGCTCAATGATTTTGTCTGAATTTACAGAATAAACTCTCATTGAACTGACTGAGTATGGTATTGGAAGTGTTTTAAAAACTCAGGTTTTATAGATTCTGATTTTCATTCGGTTTGTCATCGAGTTTGAATGCATTTGCATACTATCCGCTGGAATGGACTAGCTAACCGCTAACAGCTAACAATGAGAAATATTTGTGAAAGGACTATAGCTGGTTCATGCTCAGCAAGCAAACTTCTGATCTTCTCAATACACTCTTGAAACATTAGCAATGAGTTTTTATAAATGGGTTCGTCATATTGTTGATTGCAGTAATAACTTCTGAGATCCTCATCCTTGTCATACGAACAATGCGTATTGTTTGAGCGTATAGTCAATTTCAGACAAGCGAATTCACTAATAATTTCAGTCTTATTATCGAATGGCAACACAATCAGTCTGTACAGTTGTCAAAATCTGAAGACTACGGAAATCTTAGTGATGTTTCGCAACGAAAGAAATGAATTCTGCAGGATCACTGTACGTTCATTGGTTGATTGCAATCGTTAGGACAAATGACATTCTCGAGCATAGACAGGCGTTACACATTATTCGCTAAAGCTTCAATTTCAAAAGATAGGGGACGTGAAAAAAGCGAATTTTTCATCATTACAACAGACTACGCCTAACATCATAATTCATTGCAACGAGCCAACTGGATAGAGTTTCGAAACTGTAAGAAGTGAACTGAAGTGAAACGACATTCACTTGTCGTCGTGACTATTGCAAAAATGAAATGTGTTGTGATGTGAGGTGAAGGATTACATAAGTCGAGGATATTATACATAAGTATTGATGATAATGATGATCACTCAGTATTTTTAACTTGAACATTCAGCATTGCCGTCATCTCACACACAAACGCACATACAAGCCAGCGAATAGCTTCACAAATACTTTATGTTTTTGTGCCGTACCCATTGCTCTTTTTCAGTCAGCTATCCCATTTCTACCATATTTTATTCGTGCTCTTCGGTCTCTTTGTTTCTGTTCAAAGCAGTGACGGACACCAACCAAATGTCAGCGCCTAACCGTCGACATTCGTTGTCTGAAATGCGTGGAATCTCCGGTCTGATTGTGCATCTTTAGCTTTAAGCATTAGCTCTGAGTATTGCCTTTCTATTCATTCGTTGTGTCCGCACAATCCAACATGAGACCCGCATCCTCACTGAATTCTTCTACATTTCACAATGTTAGTCACTCACCTCCCTCTCCTTCCTCACTGCTTTCATCACAATAAACACACAAATGAATTTTCCTAACTGATAGGGGAACGCATTTTTATTCGCAAGACATTTTCGCATGTATTGTAGAACGGCTACACTGAGCAGCATGTGAAAGCGCTAGTTGAATACTAATAGTGTTATATTTCATGCTGAAAAAATCATCAGATATCCCGATTTCTCAGTGATTTTAAGATTCATCATTCAGCATCATCCCGTGAAAAGTACAATAACAAATAATGAATCAGTTACAAAATTGTATGGTGATGATGCTGGCTAATGCAAGAATTTGATTTGGCATAGCTGATTCAACCATTTCAACACTGTCACACCTTTCGAAGCATGACTAATTGCCTCATGTGTTATGAATTCTTGTTCTCTGGATTATGATGAATCCAGTCGCTATCACCTCACTGCAATGAATTTCACAACTTCGGAATTTGGAGTGCATGAGGAACACAAACTAATAATTGTAATATACATGTCATAGACGCTTCTTCATTCGAAAACTATTCTGATCAACACAGTTAAATCAACTGATTCTGTATTATTGTGATGATCAAACTATTATCCATGATACTTTTCACCGATATACTCAAGCATTTGATCGTGTTCAGCAGTTAAGTGATATATCATTTCAATAGAACTCTTAATTTAGAAAGCGAAGAAAATTGCTGATAATATCAATGACCACTGCCTCAATCATTCATATAACTGCTGCAGCACAGCTTATTAGGTGTTGGTTGATATCTGAGCAGTGAAGACAATTTCGACAATTTAGATAGAAACGCTCGAAAAATAACCGCAACAAGAAATGCAATAANATTCGATGTTGATGAAAAATGTTATCTATCACTAGAATATCTTTTCGTTTTTTTTTTCATCTTTTCGACAAATTAATCGTTTACTTTCAGTGAATAAACTATCCGATACATGAGTATTTGATAAACAAATTTTCTCCTGTCATATATATATGTGAGATCTATGAGCACATTTCAATGACAAATTGATCGGGTAATACAACACTTATCCGTCCCTTCAACACCAAACACCACTGCCATAGCACCTGTTCATCGGGATCGTCCAGTATGAGCACTTATATCATTTGTTTTTTCTGCGGACACTACGGATTTCTACTTAGAAAAATGGCCACCTCTCCTTAAGAGAACCAGCAAGGCCTCATTTATGACCCTGCTCAGAAGTGATTTCAACTTACATGTGAGCTTTCAAGAGCGATTTCTC